ATCAAAGCTTAATCATCTTTAGATTGTTGGTCATGGAACATTGTGACAAAGTTTTACAAATTTCTGATAAAAAAATTTTGGCTGTAGGCTGTTATTATATAAAAAAGTAGTTTTTCGTTGATTGTGACCTTAACCTTTGACTATAATAGCCCTAGCCCTAGCCATTTAATAACCTCGAGATCTTTGGTCATGGATCATTATGACTAAGTTTGAGAAGTTTCGGATGAAAACTGTGCCCTGTAGACTGTTCACAAACAGACACAACAAACAAATACACAAACAAACAAACAGGGGCAAAAACATCATAACCTCCTTGGTGGAGCTAAAAATGCAAACATCAACGAATGTGCAGAAGATATGCTAATATCTTGGTGAATTTTGCTTACTGGTGGGAGTACGGAAGATCGAGCCTATTATGTTGTGAGACATGTGACCCCTGCTATTAACAAGTCTGCATTAAGACTTGTTTAGAAAACATTCTTTTTTAAACAGCTTCAGAAGATGGCAGAAAAGAAGCTTATTTAGCAAAATGGTTGTACTGTGCGTTGAGATGGAAAAGAAAATAATAACAAATTTATTGATGAATAAAGAAAATAACTATGGGGGAACCCTTCTGACCTTGCTAGAGATCCCATTGCACTGTAATACAAAGAATGTGATCTTGTGTAAATTGGCAAATATAAAGTTTTATTTTAATTCAAAATAATCATTAAAGGCAGACTGCAGAGGTTGACAAAACAGGTATTAAGTCTTGCAATAAGGAGCTAAAAAGTTTCCCAAGGGGAAAAGAAAAGAGAAAATGTGGCAAATACAAAGAAACTCTCTACGGTACACATACACCATATCAAAAACCCTGAATTTATTTATTTAACTATTGCTTTGATATAATTCCAAACATATGAAAGCATTTAAAGAAGAATTGCCTGATTAAAGACATCATAGTTCCTGGTTCCAGCAGGCCAAACAATTTTAAGCAGATACTCAATAATGATACCAAAAGCTGTGATGATCTTTTCCATCACATTATAATTATGCTGCTTTATGTGTCAATTAGGTTCCTCCTGTGAAAGCACAATACTTTGTTTGGTTGGTATTTTTGGGGATGGGGGTGTCAGTGTTTGCCATCTAATTGAAGACTTGATCTGTGATCAGGCATTATGTAAGTGATTTTGTTTTCTAGGTGGAAGTAAAACTTATAAATCGCACCTCTACTGAATAATGGACCTTTAAGACCCAAGAAGACGTACTTCATTAACAATTAATGCATGCAATACCTATGGTCGGAATTCCCAGGCTCTTTAAAGACTAAATGCATTCAAGCCATTGTGAAGTGAAATGAATTGCAGATAAGGTTATACAATAGGGAACCCCTCATGAAAAACAATAAGCCCAATTCAAAGGGCTAAAAAAACAAAACACGGGCAATGTTCCACCAATGGGAGTACATCTTTATAATTATGTTTATTGCACTCAATATCTAGTTAGACTAAAGTAATACAGCCATACTTATCGGTGATAAATATTTTAAAAAAATAATTAAAATATTAAGTAGCTTATTAAAAAAATAAAATAGATAATAAGTTCCAATATTACACATAATAAAACAAATATGTTTTTGCTGATTTAAGACATTTTACAAAAAATGTCTAAAATCCTATACTGGATTCTAGGAATCCTCCTAATCCTGGGTATTACAATGGCCTGTTGCTAAAGCAGCATCAACCGATTTACATGTGCCCCAGACATCCAGTTATGTATATGTCACAGGCAGGTGGCTGTTTTAAATACATTCAATTGCTCATTTAATAATAATAATAATAATAGTAATTAAAATAGTACAGTAATAATATTCTACTCTAGTTGCCAAGGTGTAAGCCCAATTCCTAGAACATAACATTTGACTGAGATTTCCTTGGGTTGGGGAGGGGGGAGGTGCGCGAGTAAGTTTATACCTGGGTATTCCCTCATTCTCAAAAACTTTTACAACTTTTCATTTCATTTTATTTCATGCCCATTTCAGAGCCAATCTTTGATTATTTTTTTATTTTTTCAAAAGTATCTAGTGAAATCTAGTAGAGCTACTAATTAAAATCATACCCTGAGCATTGGAAATAATGGTATGTGAAAATGGAAGCAAATTGGAAGAGGGTACTATACTTGTGTGCAATGCTGTAGCCAGCTATTCGGACAGTTGGGACAGTTCCACAATTTTTCTACTGGGTCCACAAGAATGGGCCCACATTTTTTTTAATGGGCAGAGTCTAAATTATGCTGTTTTATGCACAAAATGAGTCTACTTCTTGAAAAATGGGTCCAGAATTCTCATATTTTGCGTAAAATGGGTTAACCTTTAAGAAAATGGGTCCAAGTTCTTTCATACTTTTGCATAAAATGGGTCAACTTTAAAAAAAAAAAGCTTCACATTAGTTGAATTTACGCTGCGCGTAAAGTGGGTCCGCCCTGATATGGTCCCGCATTGTTTCAAAATCCTGGCTAGGGTATTGCCTGTGTGTGGGATCATACAGTAGCATTCTTATTATAACTTGAATACGGTTTTACTTTGAATTTAGAGAATAGATACAGTATGAGTTAGTACCTCTACTTTTTTGGAATAATTATATAGATTTAAACTCCCCACCTCGCCTCCATTCCCAATATCCATTTTGAACCTTCTGTATGGAGTTGCAGACAGTATGTTATCTGTGTGAAAAATTCTCACGAATAAAACTATTTGGTTCAACAAATCTAAAAAGGAAAATATACTCTTATCTGGGAAAGTTCAGCTCTGTTTAACTTCATATATTTTTTGACATTCCAGTGTATCAAAGAATATCTACTATCTATCAGCTTTGCTTTGTTCACTAGGAACACACTACAATTCCCTTACAAAATATGTATCCATATGCGTGTAACATGTCAACTTATTGTCATAGCTTTGACACTCACGTCAGATTACAACAGAAAAACAGGATAGGTGGCACAATACACAATATATATAATTATTATATATTAATTCAAATGATTAAGTGGCTGCATCAGCTTGAATTTAATAATGAAACGCATAAAGCAAAAGTGTAGAGTTGCCGTAACTATTATTGGGTAATAAACACAAATGTCTTCCGGAATCAAGTATATATTATATATTCTATATGTATTATTATTACATATAATAATAATAATAATAATAATTATTATTATTATTATTATTAATATCAATCTTATTAACAGTGTTACCATTTACATAATGCCAGCCAAAGTGCAATATGCTGAGATAACCTTCAAAACAAGGTTAAGAACAAATTTCAAGTAGGTCTACCAATCTGATACCAGAAATTATTGTTTACTTACCAACTAAGCCTTTAAGAATCAT